ACTACTGGCCAGCAACCAAGATAAAGTTCAAAGATAGGGTCAAAACAAAAGCAGATGGAGGGGCACGGTGTGACTGTCAATGGAACATAGCATCAGAGCATGTTATTGACACACAGGTATCTAATGATCGGCACGTCATTAAAGAGGGATCTATCGTGAACTTTATGCAAATGCTAAAAGGGACTTAAGACCACAATAAAGCATTAAGGAGACACAAAAGGAAAAACAACAAAGCACAAACGATTTTTACTTATCTGACAGTATTCACTGCTTCAGCACTTTTAAATTCAAATGCAGAAAAAAATTCTTTCTGAGATTTTTAACTCTTGCTGCACAGGTAATAATTTTTGCAGAAGCACTATCTCTAAAAATGCATAGGATCCACAAGGTAAGATGTGGTCCTTGTGAGATTTAATAAGGATTTCCTCCCTCCTTCCATATCCTGAATTCACTCTATCAAATAAATCAGTAGCTGCCTTTAAAGAGAAAATATATAGCCTACTCTTCAGCACCCTTTCTTTCCTTTTAATTGCAATGATTAGGCTTGTCTGGATTATGGAATGGTTTTAGGAGAACAACATCTATATTCATTTGAAGGGATCTTTGCCTGTAAAGTACTCTCCAAATCATACAGTGGAATATTTTCCACTGCCTTAGGGACATAATTCCTCAATTACATTGAAACAGAAAGTTGTTCTTAGTTTGAACTGCTTTGTTTGTTGCCTTTTAGCTAAAGTCTAACAAGCAATTTCTTATTCTAAAACCATGTTTAAAACAAGCATGCAGAAAGTATTATGGAAGATAGGAAAAAAAAAAGTGACACATTAAAAATGTAGCAACCGTCATGCTACTCTGCCAACCTGAATTAGCAAGTGCTATAGCTTTGAGGGTGACAAACTCTTCTTTCTCCAGCTTCATGCTCTTGTATTTCTTTACCAGCTGCAGTATGGCATTGTTAAGGTCAAGAAGGCCTGCCAATTTGGATTGGTCTTCATCCATAATATAATCTTCAGCATATACAAGCTCATCCTCAAAAGAAAGTGACCGGTATACAACACCGAGAATCAAAATCTCCATCCAAGCACTCTGCAGAAGGCTCATCTGGTCAGCTAGAGACAAAGTGGAGAATCCTGAGGAGGAAAAAAAAAAAAAGGAAAAATATTAAGCACACCTGGATTTATCAGGTTTATCAGAAATCTGCTCCTCTTTTTTTATTTTTATATAGGTTGTGATAAAACATGCATGTAATTCTATTATTCTCTCTTCTGCTTTTATGCCTCTTCTCCTCTTCCTACTACAAGAAAGTGTTTTCTAATCAAAACCAAAGTTTTAAACAAGCTGGAATTTGCAGACTCTTCCTGTGAGAATTATAATAATTTGGGGAGTTCTGCAGTGACAGTGTGTGATTTGTATCATGTCTTCTTTGTTCTGAAATAGTTGTGCTTAGTTCTAAAAACCTGATGCTGTGAAATAGGGATCTGCTGATTCTATTCATCACTACCATAAACCAAGAAGGACAATTTAGGAGAGAAAAAAAATAAAACTTTTTTAAAAGGGAAGATTTGATGTTTTAATAGAATTAAGGTGCCAGTCAAAAGGAGAAAAAGTCTCTTTGAACTTTAACCTTAGGGGAAAGAGACGTAACACCCACCTTTCGCAGAAAAGACACTAATCATTTCAGTAATGGCTTCTGCTTCTGCTACACTTGTTGAAATAACAGGGTGGCATATTGAAATGCCAACTGAATAGCAGTCACACCATCCTTTTTCTGAGGGCAACCAAAATTTTAATAAAAGCCTCTTAATTAATTTAACTTTTGCTTTTTTTCTCCTCTCTCTGCTGTCTTTCCTAATAAAGGCAAACATCTTTACTGTCTTACCTTTTCAGGCTCTTGTTTACAGTACCTGTTAATTTATTATATCAAACTGCTAATATCCCAATCACATTAGGTGCTAGAAACAATATGGGAGAGGAAGTGATTTTTCTGGCCTGTTGGTGAAATGCAGCAGTTTGCCAGTTGGCACCATCAACCACAAGTACTTAATAAAATCATCAAAGGGGATTAGTCAAGCTTTTCTTAAAGGGTCTTAAGACATGTCTGAGGCTTTCATTTAGTTGTTTATGGAGCTGCTTACATGTCCTTTGACAGGGTTCCCGCTGTAAGAACATTCTTTTTGGCGTTCGATTACGCTTAAATGCATTTTTCTGTTTTGAAAGTCAAGAGTTACAGTCAAGCGAGAATATATCATAAACTAGCAAATCTGCAAGGCATCTACTCCAAACAAGATTTTCTCTATAAGCACTAAGCAACAAAACTAATACAATAAAAAAAGAAAAGCCCACATCCAAACCACCAGGCATCCATAAAAAATGAAACATAAAACTGGCTGCATGCTCTCTCTCTCTCTCTCATTTTTCTCCCCCTCCTTATTTGTTTTCATTTTCTCTTACTGTCTTTTGAGTCTTGTGATAGAACTGTAGCTCTCTTCTTTCAAAAAAAAAAACCCACAACAAAACCTGAGCCAACAACAACAGGAAACTCTTGAAGATGTGACAATAGAAAATAACACATCTGTGATTAAAATAAATAAGAGGGAAATGCAGAAGAAATAATCATTTCAAAGGTTATAGGGAGGAATTCATGATTTCAATTAGCTTCAACATTTCTGTTCCTTCCCGTCTTTCAAGAACCAGTTTTTCTGCAGTAGCAGATGGACAGAGAATGTAGCCTGCAGCATCGTCCTGTGACAGCCCCATTCTCCCTCCCAGACACTGCTGTTAGTAAATAGATTTACACATTCTCCAATCTCCACACATCTTTCTGCCGAATAATTAAAAGCAGGATGATTAGTTTATTGAGTGGAAGGAGGAACTTTTTTATTGAGGTCCATCCACGATTTTATCAAGGCCAGCACTTTTACGGTTGTCATGAGGGTGCAGGCATCCAATTTTTCTTATCTGCCTGATTAATACAAACGCTGTTTCAGGACGCATTAATTAACAGATACAAATCTACGTTCTCATGGAAGGATCAATACAGAGAAGAAAAGAGGCATCAATGTGAATTTAGTGCTGATGATGGAGAAGGCACTCTATTGACATTTACGTGCATAGAAACTTTAAAGTTGCAGTAGAGCCCTTTTGTCCCTGTGATTTACAAATTAACAATTTTTCAGGTATAACAATGTTTCACACACTTCTGCAGGGTTTAATTAAGAAAAAAGCAATAAAATCAGTTTTGATTAAAAAAGTTTAACCTGCAATTTCTCTCTGTAGTTGGGGTTTTTTTTCCTGAAAACTCCCCAACTTCCTTTTTTATTTGCTTATCTATTTTAGTACAGGTTTGTTGGCACTGGTTTCATTTTTTTTTTATAAATAATACTATGTTTCAATAGCATTTATTGTGTGCCACAGTCAAAGGAAATTACATTTGCCCTGTGAGTGGGGGAAATGGGATGTTGACTATAATTTATTGTATTGCACTCTTGAAAAATCTGCATTCTGGAGCAGTAAATATACTAGTTGTTTTTATTTGACACATTAAAAAATCAAAAGAAATTTTTTATATTATAGAAAAACTGGCAAATATAAACCACATTGTTCCACTCTTCAATAATAAATCAAATCAACATGACTATTTTCTTCCTGATCGAAATAACTTTCCCTTGAAAGCCTGTTCAGTGAAAGCATGTTTTAACTTTTAAAGGCATCCCTCGTGGGAATGTAAAGCTGCATCAAGTTGTAATTAATCTGTTTTTGTTTTGATTTTTCAGAAAATGTGAAAGCATCCAGCATATCTCTTGTATCACAGCAATGCCCTTTTAATATGTATTCAACAAGTTACAGTTAAAAGAACAGATTACACAGGAATATATGTTTATATACAGAATAGATTACACAGGCATATATATTTTTTTTATATACAAAGATTTGTTTTTAATTGTTTGGAGGAGGTTATACTTATTTCACGCCAAAGTCCGAGTGTGTGAGCTTTTGTTATGTGAATGCCCCAGATCAACCACATCCTCTGACAAGTGGACATTTTCTGTATTAAATTGTAACTATTTTTTTAAAAGTCTCCACATTGGACAAAATACACTTCCAGCTTTCTGAACCAGTGTTAGCCTCTCCAGTCACACCTCTAAGCTCTTTCCAAACCACGCTGAGATGCTGCATGATGGTGTGGTTTTGGACCTTGCTGTGCATTGTGTGCATCCCTAATCTTTAAGAGTCTTGCAGGTCACCGCTTTAAATGTAGAACTGTGTAACAGCTTTTTAAAATACAGTGTTGTGCACCTTTCCCCCCCTTAGCACATACCATATTGGTGACAACTTTGATCTCTCTCCATCTCCCTCCCCAAGTCAATGCCATTTAATGTATCTCAGGCATTTGCTCGCAGAATGACTCTGTACCTTGACCTGCAGTTAAATAGCATGTTTATCTGCGATACAGCGCACTCCAAATAAACCAGATGACAGTTTGCAGTAACGTCATTTGGAAGGATTGAAAGGCTTCTCAAGAGTCAGGTACCCCTGAGGTAAGAAGCTTGAAGGAAGCATGTTTTGTGCCAACCTTCCTGCCATCTTCTACTAGACACTCGTGTGCTTGACAATGATGCCATGGGCACTTGTCAAGATTTTTTTTTTTTCTTTTTGCCTCGCAAACTGATGCACTTTGCAGTCAACTTACAAAAAAGGCTAAGCATTTGAAAGTGTGAAGGGCAAAAAATATCTGACGGCTAGTCTTCAAAAATACACTTTCATTTCAGAAAGCATAAATGTTTATTTCCTGAGCTGAGTGTTGACAGAAATAGGCTGCAGCGCAGGCATATGAATTTAACCCCTGGTAGGCATTCCTTTCAGTGTGATTTTTATGTGGCTGAGTGCAAGCATTGTAAATCTACAGGGTGTCTCGTACTATCAGTTAACAATAGCATTGATTCGCTGGTTACAGATTTTTTTCCTTTTTTTCTTTCTTTCTCTTCCTTTCGGGGACTGTAGTGTTCTTCCGCTAAAAATAGACACTTTTCTACAAACAGTGTATCACACTCAAATTGTAATTATGCCATAATGACTCACTGAGATAACTCAGGGTGGATTGAGAAAAGGTTGATTGAGCAACAGAACATATATTTGGTTTTTTTTCCTTTTGCATACCAGTAAACCCAAAGCTCAAAGGAAGCAGCAATAAATAGGTAAAAAGGCCTTAACATTTTTATTATAGGAACAAGGGGTGTTGAGCTGACTGCACTCTGCAGTGCTCAGCACTCCAAGCCAGCTCCAAGCACAGTTCACAGCCTCTTCAACAGGGCTGTTCAAACCACAGATCTTTTCAAATATCAGCACATGCACCACTTGCTCTCTATTTCACACTGCACACAGCTCAATGATAAGCAGGGTAAATCTTTTATATTCCTGAAGACCCTTTCCTCTACTTCATTAAGATGGACTTCATGGACACTAACTCACTAGGGGCCAGAGTGAAGCAGCTGCAGATGGTCAAGTGCCAAAGTAAGATCTGTGCCTTGCACACAGTACTTCGAGAACTACTGGCCAAAAAAAAAGACAGTGGCTGGACTTATCCCTACCATTATTTTCATCCTTAAACATTTGATACGGTGTCTCAATCAGGTTACTCAGACTGAAATCCTGAAGTTTTTTTCACTTTGCAGGAAATGAGCTTCCCTTCCTCTCTGATACATGTTTAGAAATCCTAATATTTGATCAAACCTGGTATGAAATTGCTGGCAAATCTGGGAGTTGTCTGCCTTTTCTGATAATTGTCTCCCATTTATTTTACCAGTTGTTTGTGTGATTGTTAGCTTTACGAGTGAAATATTCCTCTTGTTTGCCCTGGTTTGTACTTCAAATATCTTCATTTACATTTTTTATAATCAAAGCTGTGCTTGAAAATGACATGTTCACTAGTGTGTTGCAGATTCAATATATTTACACAGTTGAAATATCAGAGTTGGATTTTTAAATTATTTACACTTAATTTTGATAGATTAACTTCTTTCTAAATGTTTTATGGGTACTGATGTTTCCAGCATAGTTTTTTGGTTTTTTTTTTCAAAAATGATGTATAGCCACTACTGTCCAAAGAACACTCTGATATTGTAAACACATTTAAAAAAAACTTTTAGCCCACATTACTTTATTTAGAGTGTGTGTGGCCTCATGGTCAAATGACAAACAGTGAGCCAAAAGCTTATCCTGGCTGCACTGAAGAAAAGAAACCCCATTTCAAGATCAGACTTGGGTCCAATGCACTCTCAGATGTACAGCTGTCACTCTGCTCTCTTCTCCCTTCCTGGCACAGACTCAGTGCTTGCTTGGATCCATCGAGCAACTTCAGCTACCTTCTAGGGATGTAAACAAAGGCCAGGGAAATTTCAACAGTGAAATCTCTGCTAGGGCTATGTAATGTTTTCTAAACATGATCATAGTCTTTGCTGAAGGAAAACTTCATAGCCTGACTGCCCTTTACTATTAGTGTCTCAAAAATACAAGGAAGAGAATGGCATGATTAATTTTTTTACGCTGTATCTAGAGCTGAATCTTTCATAAAGATCAGAATTAAGGGATCCTTTTTATTATATTAATTAAAGAAAAAATGGATTTAATTGCATTTCAAAGTACTGTGTAGACTAAAAATATATATCAAGGCCCACAAACATTTCAGTGGTTTTGAAAACCGTTAACAGAAGGACAGTGCTCTCACTAATCACCAAACATATTTCCCAGATTATGGATGAAATTTTGTGAAAGCTGGAACAGAAACAGATACAACTCATTATGCCAGGGTAAATCCATTATTTCAGTTTTTTCTTTTCCTTTTTTTTTTTTTAATACCTCTTTGCTTATGGAGCCCCTGGTCAAAGGCTAATAATTGCACAAGCTGAAATTTAAGTATGACTGAGAATTTTCACATGAAAAGTGCCAGCTCACACAACAAAAAGCATAGGTAACTGCCCAAACTTGAAAATCACACATCAAGTTCCAAAGCACAAACTAACAAATGACCAGAAATACAACCAAAGGCTCAACTTATGCTGTTTGCTTGGATTCAGCTTCCAAGTTCTTTAGAGCTGACGTGCTGCAGGTAAAGTTACAGTTAGAAATTAAATCCATCCAGCAACTTTTGCACAATAAAACCTCCACCTTTTCAGAGCGACGCTTTGCTATGTCGCATCTCCTCCTGCCACTACAGCAGAGCACTGCAAAAGCAGCACCGGGGCTCTGTTGTGAGCGGTGCTGCGAGTTGCGACTGCCATCTGTTAGCTGTGCAGCCGTGAGAGAGGGGAGATCAGATTGCACACACAGAGGTGCCCAGGAATCACTCTGTCTCGAATTAAAGAAAAAAAAGCAAAACGCATTCGGAGAGCACTGGGATGTTTTCAGCCAAGCCTGTGCACTTTCACTTATTTAAGCGTGTTTGTACTCCTAACTCTTGCTGTCCAAGCTCTTATAAAATATACATTTTTTTTTATATTTTATAACACGAAAAAATGCCTACCATAAGCACTTTTTCGCTACCAGTAAGACGGGAAATGCCACACAGAGCACTAAGAAACCCGGGGCTGTTATCACAACGCTACTTTCATCTCACTGAAACAACAGCAGAGAGATGGCACGGCAATAAAAATGCATTCACACTGCATGTCCCTCTCAATCCATTACGAACAATGGATTCTCGCTAAGCAAATATTCGCTTGTCAGAAGTATTTGCAACACTGGATTCATTCAGCAGGACTAAGTAAGAGAAGTTCACAGCAATTTAAAAGCAGCAAATTAGACATTTACAAACAGTAAAGATGCTGCTTGTCTAGCATGACCTTTCGCTCAGGGTATACAAAAAGGTGTTAATGTATTTTAAATACCAGTCAGAAATATTTCTGGTTTACCTTTTACCCTGTGAAACCTTACATGATAACACTAAACAGGAGCAATTCAAGCTTGTCATTTCTTCCCAGGGTTAGAGGCACATAGTGAGATGTACCCCACTATAGTTCAAACTGATTTCAGCACTTAAATCAGTGACACCCCTCTCTAACCACCCAAATATTTCCAGGCAGCTACTTTTAAATTTCTTATTTCTAGCTACAGTGCCAGTTCTCGTGAGCTGCTTCTTTAGCATTAGTAATGGAAAGGAGCTGGAAAATGTGACTGATTAAGGATATCTCTGTGACTTCACATAACCAGGTGCTAATACTCTCCAGGGAAACACTAAAGATTAAAAAAACTAATGAGTCACCCTTGCTTCAGGACAGATTTGCTAAGACCTCCACGTATGGAGCACTTTATAATGGCATTTTTGGAAACACATGGTTTGAAGTATTGTACTCTTTATTTCAATAATTTTTATTTCACACCTTATTATTTCAGTACTCACCAAGAAAAAGGAAAATATAAGACAACAAATTTAAACATATTAATACTTGATTTTCCTTTTGGCCTGATTTTACCACTGGAACTTCCACAATTTTAAACAGCTTTACTGCAAACTCATACCAACCTTCCATTAAAAAGATGCCAGGCCAAACACTTATATTTTGCTTTATTACCAGATGCTCTGAGAACAGAAGAGGACCTGATAAGTAGGAAACTGCCTTCCCCCCTCACTTTTTTTTTCTCTATGTAAGACAGTTAAATCTTCTGGTGCATTACCTTCTCTGAGGAGAGGTTTTGAATTCTAAGATATGGACAACGAAAAAAAAGTTTTAAAATTCAGACTGGCAGTGCAATATGGCCCAGTGAAGCTGTAAGTCTCCTTAAGGTCAGCAGTATGAACTCGCAGATTCCTGAGGGTGATCTTTTTAATGCTCTACATATGTGATCTGATCTGCTTCTTTAAACTTAACTCTTCCAGTTCTTTAAAATTTAACCTTCAAACATAGTTTTGCTAGACTATGGGATTTAGTGTCCTCTACTGAAGATAGCAGAAGCAGATGTCATGACACAGTGTGCTCTGAAAATCACAGGAGAAAACCGAGCAGGATTGTATTTATGACCCTGATTGTTTTCTTTCACTGAGTCTACATATAAAAAATACGAATCATATTTTCTACATAAATATTGATTTCACCCAAACTGCCCTTCAATTTGTTGTGAATGTACATATTTGAGTGTAACTACAATAAAGCCAGATATGTGGGTGAAAACATAAAAACAACATTCTGTTATTAGTAAAGTGAATGTAGATGAAAAACAAAGTGTATATCATGAGTATGGCTGGATCCTTCTCGAAGTCCAGCTGAGAGAATGGTAACACAGTTCAGCTTAAAATAGTAAGCATAATATCAGCACATCCTGTGTATGGTATGCCTTACCTGGATCCTTCAAAGAGTTCAGCTACCAGAAATGAAACTATGATCACACATAATTTAACAGAAAGTGTCCATCCTTCTTCCTTCTTTTTAATTTTTAGTCAACTAAATTAAATTAATAATAAATAATTTTAAAAAAGGCACAAATTGACAGAGGAACCTTGCTAAACTAATAATAACAATCAACATCCATTCAGGTTCTGCTCACTTCAACCATTGTGTGCATCAACCTCCCAAAAGTTGCATGCACTGACTGGGAATATCCAGAAATTTAAAGTTCAAGCTTCTTCAGCATGTTAGTCTTCAAACCCAAGTTTTCTGGATTATAAAATACCACTAGTTTGTTGGGGGTTTTTTTCACAGAAAGGAGGAATTTCTTGTGCATTTAATACATGTTGCCTTTTATTTATAACCTCTACAGGTTTGCTTTGAGAGCACTTTTCCTCAGAGTGCTGGGTCACTGCTGTTTGCCTTTTGCTCCCCTGGGGAAGCCACCAGTCATTTCCTCACTGAAAGCTGTGGCAATCCCTGCTCCCTCCATCTTTCCATCAGGCAAAGTCAGGTTTCCAGGAACTCCCCAATCATGTTAATAATATGAATCCAATACAGGAATGTATTAGCATACAGAGACAACCATGCTTGCGATCCAATCAACGTATCTGTGTTAACCCTGTATGTGCTGGCCTACCTAAAATCTCTCTCCACTGCCAAAGCAAAAACTTCAGGTTGCAAAATTTTGGGTAAATATCTCCTTTCACCCTCTGGCAGGAAAATGACAGCTCAGACCACTGCCCTACACATCTTCCATCTTCTTCCCAATTTTTAAAACTTTTCTGTTAGTTAGTTGATTTTCTTAATGTGCTGCAGATGCCAAAAAATTCAAATGATGTTTACAATCTCCCTGGTTTGGGGAGAGCCACACATGTTCTCCTACGTGAACGTGAAATTTCTAGTTTACCTAGATGAGTGTGTACGTACCATTAAGATCATCTCTGGAGGCTGTGTCTTAAGTCTACAACAGTCCACACACAGGGAAAAAAAAAGAGAAAAAAGAAAAGGAAAAAAAAAGGAAGCTGCCTGATTCTAATACACCTAATTAGCCATCGGCAGACTCTTAATTGCATACATTAGGATGATTCCATAGTGGAGATTAATTCTAAATATACCCAAGCAGCTGGTTAAGATGCCATGGATTACAGTGTGGACTGTACTTTTCCACTTAATTAGATATCAAAATTAAGCAGCAACAAGCATTTTGACATAACGGGGATCAAGCCGCCGCTTGGCATCCCAGAGCTGCACTAAAGTGACCGCTAAACAGAGCCGCACAGATGGAGAGATATTAAATGCCGCACTGGAAAGTAATTTCAAATAATAAAATATCAATATTTACATTTTAATTACCCCTACTGAGAGCCGCTCTGTCATTTTCACTATTGCCGACGCAGCAAGGGGTAGTGGAATGACATTGCGGCTCTGACTGCAATGACTATTTTGTTTCCATTAAAGAATGACAAGTGTTTTAGAGGCAGTGACACCCAGTGTGTGAACAAGAATGACAGCAGATCAGAAAATTCCTATTAAGGGAATAAATGACTCAACAAGAGAATTTACTTCAAGCAGTCGGCTCCTCCTTGAAACACATAATCCTTTCTATATTTTCTGCAGGAAGTTTATTATTAAAGGTGCCTTGGAGAAACCTTGGCTTCTCATCAAATATTTAGAACGATGGGACCTTACATGATGACTGGTCAATTTAAAACCACTAATATTCAATGCTTATCCTATCTAAGAGTTATACTGAGTTTGTATGAATCTAAATAGTTTCAGGGAGGCGGAAAGGCAAATAGTAAAAAGGAGATTCCTTCCCATGAGACTTGAAAGTTTTGATGGTGCATGGAGAACACCAAGGTTACTTTTGCTGTCTTTTCTTCACCAGTTTTACTACCACTGGAACAGTGAGGATTCCACATCCCACCTCGACCACAATTTGCTAGCCTTCAGAATTGTACCCAGTTGGTCACCACAAGTAATGTGCACATGCACAGGTTCAGGCCTCTTGTTTCTCCCTCCATATTCCTTGCACATATATAAACACTTTTTCTCTTGGTATGTACATCAGAGATCTGTGAGACACCTTTGCAGCACCTTAGGAATCTAATTACTTCTGATCAGGTCTGAGGTCAGTCTCATGGAAAATATTATATTACATCTGACATGCTGCATTTACAAAGATGAAAAGGAAGGAAGAAAAATATCAAAACAGTAAAGAAAAAAAAAGTCTTCCTTGGGGATGTCTGTCAAACTGCAGAGATCTTCAAAGAATTTCAATGGCCTCAGACATGAGAAAGTGGGTAAGAGTAAATCCTTGGTCAGTACACCCAATACGCAGCTAAGTGACCCTCCTCCTAAGTCACGGCATGCATTTATTTAATAATGTGCAGAGCTCAACTTCTATAAATGTGACAAATGGCTAGAACAGAGCACAGGGGAAAAAAGGCATGAAGATTTTTACAGAAAAGGAACAGCTTTACGGCAGTGACTCGCAGGAGTTTTAGATGCAGTTTTGACATTACGAATTAGCAGTCAAGTACAAAAACCTTACTCTGACATTAGCTGCTTAACTAGTTGATTTTCTTTTTCTTTTCTTTTTCTTCACTTCTATTTCTTTTTTTTTTTTAAGTACCCAGGAAGTACTTCTTAAGCATCCCTAATGCTTTTAGGACAAGACACTTCCCCATTTCTCAGCCACTAGCACCTTTTTAATTTCTGAAAGAGCCATGGTTGAAAATCTTAATTAATTGTTCCATACTGCTTCAGGATCATTATGCAATGTAATAAAGGCCGTGTAATTATGAAATTTTACAGCCATTACCAAGGCTGATGGCTCGTATTTCATCCTCAGCTGGACCCAATGGCTTTTAGCCACTCAGCTCCCCTTTGATGAACTACAGACAGATCTATCAGGCCCAAACAATATCCAGGCAAGGCGGCTATAATAGCTACCTACAGATGAAGCCATAGATAAAGATAAACTATAAATCTACACACAAATGCAGGCACATTGCCTCAGGATGACAGAGGGGAGAGGATGAGACACTTGGGAAAGCTGGCGGCTTGCAGAAAGGCAACCTTCTCTGTCTGTCTCTTTTATTCAGTTTGGAATTTGTTTGGTTTCTTAAAGATGTGAAACCCTCTCATACTTCCCCCCCCTCAAATTACATATTTTTTAAGGACTATGAATTTTTATATGGAAGGCAAGGGGTCACTTTATCCATCTATTACATTTGACACAGGGGATTTATATGGACAAATCAACTCATCCTCCAAATGAAGAATCTCAGTCAACAAGTCTGCAAATCATATTCTTAAAAGTGAATCCAGGTCACTTGCTTCCAAGACTGAAAAAAGCAAAACATCCGTGATTTCTAAATGCATTATCGTGAGCAGATGCACAGAGGTGAAGTTAGATGATAGGCTTTCACTGGAGGCAGCACCAGAGATGCAATTTCATGCAACATTGTCTGACATTATTTTATTTTCAGTCTGAAAATGAAAATACTTCTAAAAATTCAGTGCAAGTTAAAGAAACAATGGTATTCTATATGCTCTCGATACCTGCAACACCAGACTGCAGTTTATGGAGGTGACCTCCATCAATGCCCTCTTTAATTTAAGACAGGAGGTCTTCCGAGTATGCATTGTTAGTCCCTCCAAAGTGAGAGGAGACTGACTAAATGATCTCTAGGTGAGAAAAAGAAATGGAGAGATGCATCATCCTGGCCAGTTCTGAAAGAATCCAGGGAAGAGTGTGAAAACATTAGCTTGAAAACTGCATCTATTAGTAGCCCTTTCAGTAGCCCATGGTAAGTCAAGAAGTTGATGCCATACTCATGGCGGAGGCTAAAAGCACTTCAGAAGGCAAGAAAAGTTAAAATGAAAATATCAATAGTATTCTCTGATTTCTAACAGAACAATAGAGTGGCTCATTCCTTTCCAAAGAAAATGTGACAAATTTAAAGAAGGTTCAGTGAAAGTAAAGCAAAACATTGTGCCCAAGAAAACTCTTAGGAAAAGACTCAGAAAGCAGGAATTTTCTTCCTCAAAATAGTGATTTATGAGAGAATTCGGCAGAAGTATATATAAATTAATGATACAAAAAGTAGGTCTAAAGATTTTATTCTGTCTTATAACACAGACCAAACACCATTACAGTAAAACTCAGGAAACGCAAAATGGAAGGATGAAGGGAAACTCTTCATCCACAGAGTAGCTGGAATGGAGAAGTTCTTGCCAAAGGACGTCACTGAAGCTAAGAACTCAAGAGAGGGAGATAATGCTTACATGGATGGCCAGAATAGCTCCAGGTATAGTATTCCAAATCCAAATTAAAAGGACAAAAATGTTTTTCTTCCTTATTTCATCTAATTTCTAAGCATAAAGAATCAGAAAAAATTTTCCTGAGGCTTCTGCCTACTATGGGTTCATGTCTCCCCCTCTGAGGCTGATCAGTGCTGAAGACAGCAGAGTATATGTTGATGACCTATAGCATTCAATTCCTAGTTTCCCAAAAACTCAAGTCTCAGAATTTGGGCTGCCTTTCTTTGAGGTATTTGGAACCTACTCCTACAACTGGAGTTCAGAACAGAAGAGCTTAGAAAGATGCGCCCCAGGCAAAGAATTTCAAAATAACAGCAACTGAGCTCTCACTCTACTGCTACTGTAGAAAGACAAAAATAATGGATATGGAAGATCTGTGGTGTTATCACAGACATAAAGGCAGACAGGTATATGTATTAATGTGTGTTTGCATAAGCCTGTATATGCATGCATTTGTACTAAGCAAACCAAGGGTATTCCAAAAGCTACCAAAATGAAGAAAGATCACCTGCTCATTAACTTATATTCCTTGCTTATTAAACATGTTCTTTCTTTTAATATAAAGAACTGTCTTGCTGAAGGACAAAAAATTAATGTAATCACCCAGGTCAGATCAGAGAAGTATTTTCTAAAACAGGGAACAGAGTCACAAAGGGTCACTGATCAACAAAGCTGCAACTGAAGACAGGCATGGGAATGTGTGATTCAGGTTCCTCCAGCATAATGCTGAGGATGCTTGATATATGGTCTTTTAAGGACCAGTATCTGCTGTTAACATGCTTTATTGAAACCGTGCATATGGCAGGTATTCACTGTACATGGTGTGCATTGATCTGTTCCTTGCAGTGCATGTGGAAGCATCGTAAACATTCTTAATGCAGAAAATAACCCAACCAAACCCAAATCGAAAGGTTTAAGCACATACAGTACATTAGAACATCTACATACTAGATTATACAGACGCTCCTAGACTACGATTCCTAGATAGGACTTTAAATTGCCTTCTGATGCTCTAGTGAGTTACCAGAATTAAGTGAAGACCTCAGTTAAAGCCAGTACTATGAAAATTGAAAAGACTGAATGTAGACAAAGAAGATGGCAGATTTTTTACCTTCTCTACTTCCCATCCAGTTGACTCATCTAGCCAAATTAGCATCAACCTCATGGATAGGCTCTGTAGCTTTACCTCTTTTTATGTTCCCAATCACTCATATCAGTAGAGTAAAAAGCAGCTACAAATATACTCAGCAGGAGCATTTTTCAGAGCAAAAACTTCAAGTAAGAAGTAAATGCAAAGATGTTATTTCTATTTCTATCGGAGGCAGTAATGCCAGTTTGCTACATCAATTTAATAAAAATAATGATGATAATTTGAGAAAACAAGAAACACCATCCTACAATTTTATTCTACAAAAGAAATGCATGAAGTTTTACTCTCTTTGGTAAATGTCTAGTCTACTAGAGAATGCACATCAGTATTCCATAATTTAAGATTATTGCAATGATTTTAATAAAGTACAGCAAAGAATTATGTGCAGAAAGTTAATTGCTAGTTTACTACAAACTACCTTGAAACAGAACTGGTTGAGGCATACTAAGACAAAGTTTATTTTTCCCAAATACAGATTACTGCAAAGGAAAAGGAAATTAGCGCTACGTATTTTGTGAAAGACTTTCTTTTCAGTATTGGCTTAAAATATTTTCCTTTTTCAAGTGATTTTTTTTTAAATAAACAGCTACACGTATCTTACATATAAGTATAAAGTGTTTTTAAGAAATCTGTTTTAGAGAACACAGAGAGGTTTTGCTAAGACTCAAAAAAATGCTAACTGCAATAAGATCATACCTGGACACAGAAAAAGATATTAACATAAGTACAGATGAAAAATGGAAGAGAAACAGAGTTATAATTGTATGTTTTCTCTTTCAATATTCACCAAATGGGACACAAACCTTAGCTGCTATAATGCATGCCATGCTTTACCCTGATTTTCTACACTTGGTATTCCCTAGCTGAATTGTTTCTGAAGTCCATGGTGATTTTTTTCCACAGCAAATCAGCAGTTTTTCAAGAGGTCTCTGTGCAACCTAGGAGTATGACATTTACTAATGTGTTGAGATTCAGGGATTCTCCTTTGTAGAAGCCAACACTAATAAGAAAGATATGGTTCAGTGTCCTGGGTATTCTTCCCAGTTTTATTAATTAGATGGAAAGCTTCTCCCTCTGGAATACTGCAAGGTATTTATTAACACTTCAGCCCACAAACTAGAGTAAATTTACAGTAGTGGAGGTAATTGTTACATACACCGGCTCTTGTTATCAACTTGGCAGGGATAAGCAAAAAAAACCCCAGAGGTTTAGATTATGATCTTTTTCATGATATTTTAATTGTGCTTCTTAATCTGCTAAATTAAAAACTATAGTACAATCTTATTCAGATCATTGACAAAAAAGATCATATCGATTTGCAACAAAATGTATGAATGCTCCTATCTCTTTTAATTATGCAAAGAATTTAACAGTCATATTCAATATGGCCATAGAGTGCTAAGATACAAACTCTTCCTTTTACAGTTGGGCCATCTTATCCCTTAGCACCTTCACATTTTATTTTAAGTCTCCCATCTTTTAATGCACAAGACACCCTTCCCTAGATGATCTTTAATATCACCACCTTCCTTCTCTTCCTTCATGTTAGTACGATGAGCTACTCCCACAACTATGTCTCAGCAAACTGATGACTGATAATGACCAGGCAGACACTCAGTAATATCTCAGTTACTTATATGCTTTACAAAGAAGAGTTAGGTATGCTCAGAGGTACTTTGTGAAACCATGTTTCTCTCACCATTGCTTTCAGCCTTCCTTTTCTTTGCCTTCTTCTGCTATCAGACCCTCTTATTCCTTCTGGGAACCAGTAGGTCAATTTAGAATGCCACCAGCAATGCCCTCTCTTGCACACTAATTTACCTACACTTTTTTTCACTATGCTGGTCTCGGTGCTATGGAAAGCTTAGAGTTGGGCTTCATTTTGCATGCCTTACCCTACGTTCCAAATTCTTACAACCACAAAGTGTTGGGCTCCACCATCCAGTGTTTGAGTAGTAGTTTTAGAAATTACTCAGAAAGCATGGTTGTGCATTGTGTGGATGGGCCATTAGAGGGTTCTAAACCAAAATTTTAATGTGCAAAAACACCACTGGATCAGCTGTTGTTTCTTTGGTTTTCTTCTTGTCCCAGACATTTGCTTTCAAATGTCTGTTTCTCGCTGATCCTTTGTTATGGTGACCAGCCACTCACTATGGCTTTTCTTATGGATTCTCTGTCTCAGTGATCTGAGAAGGAAAGAGGTGAGAATTTAGTCATCTGTTCTGTCAAAACATCATGTTTGCTGGGCTCTCAGGCAATGCTGGGTATCAAGGCCAAATCAGCACCGAATCAAGAACACTGCAAGAACAGCCATGAGAGATGGCTCCAAAAGCTCCTTTGTAATAATTCACTGCTGCTGTGACTGGCTTTGTAATAGAGCTCTAGTTGAAACATTCTCACTATGTATTTGTATTTCATTCCTTCAGGATCAAAGTAACAATCAGATTGACAATGGATCCCACTTAGCTATCCTGATTGCATAAGACACACGTCTTTAATAGCTGGCACGTGCCAAATACATCCCTGTCAAACAGCTAACTAACAACAACGTCAGCAGTTTTCAAGAGTGTATCACAGATGATGTCAGAGGCATGGGTACATTTATACAGGAAGAATATGAGGAAGAATGTGGTGTCCCAAATCTACCAATTATTTTCTCTGTGATTCTGCTGGAGTCACGAAATCCCTCTCTGTCTCAGTCTTTCTGTGCAAGCAACAGATATAAGGTATATACAGATATATACTATAGATATAATTCACAGGGTTGCCATGCTATTTTATTCATTTAATGTTTGAAAATAACAACAAATATTTTAACAAAAAAAGGTCTACAAATTATATTCAACATTTCTGAAAAGTATATGAAATGGATGAAGGGCTAAAATGTTTGGAAAAGGATGGATAAGGTCTAGATCCATAGTATATAAAAGAAACAAACTGGTGATGCATTGTGCTCACATCTTTCAATCCTAACATGCTGTGAATCATATTTAATGTTTTAAAGTTATAGCTTTCAAAGGACTCCAAAACTGGAGGTATGAATCGAGGTTTCACCATAAGGAAGTCAAGTGATTTGACCAAAGTCATATGGTAACTCAGTGTCAGAGTCAAGAAAGGTAGCCTTCAGCTTCTAGTGTTGGGGTATCTTT